CCCCAAAACCCCAAAACCCCTAGCAGCAAAATATAAAGGTAATGAATTTAAGAAGTATTTAATCTCAAACGAAAATAGATATTAAGGGTTATAATAGAAAAATTGATTAGAGTTTTCTATAGATAATTTGCTATTTTCTCATTATCAATGATTAATAGATTACTTTTATAGATTATAGAGCTCATCAGCTTTTTCATCTAAATTTTTGAATTTGTATTCATCAATTTACTGGGCAACAATCATGTCAATCTTTCCTTCTCCATATTTTTATTTCATATCATTGAGAAAAGCTTTTCTCTCAATCTGGAGTTCAGTGAGGGGAAACCTTTGGAACTTTCTGAGTATCCTCATATTCCTTTATAATTCCTGCTGGCTCTCAGAAAGCTAACTTTACTTGCCTTCGTCCTCTTCAAGATCATCCTTCTTCATAGTGAAGTTATTCCAGTAGTACTTGTTTCTTAATTATTCTTAGATCTTTTTTCGCTCCTCCTGAAGTTGCTTTAACCGTTCTTGAATACTTTTTGGGTGTCGTCTAATCTTACGCTTCTTTTTCTTTCTTGGAGATTTTTATATATTATGGTTATTTAGTGTTTCCTATATAGAGTGGTGCTTTAAATCTTCGTGTTCCACTGAGTCATTAATGGAAGTGTACAGATATGATTACTTATTCATTGATTAATTATGTGGTTCTTCCTCCTCTGATGTGTATTGTCTTAATGATGGAATAACTATTTGTGGATCGTATTATAAAGCTAGTTCTGGATTTTATGATTTCAACTTGAATTCACCCTAGGCAACATGATAAATAGCCTTTAGATGATTGACTTGGTACTTGGTATTGTTAATGACGCCATTCATTTCGAGAGTATTATCTAATTTTTGAGAATCCTGATGATTCTCTCTAAAGCGAGACAAATAATCTTCTTTCAGTTTGCTAAATTAGTGTAGTTTCTAATTGAATTAGTTTTAGTCTATTTTCCTAATAGTGGCTGGATTCATAGAGGCAGAATTAGGATTTGATGTGGGACGATTAGATGAAACAAAGTCTTAGTATTAATTTGGATCTATTGTTCTGCCTCCATTTTAACCACTTTCTCTTGAATTTAGGAAATGCTCATCAATTCCATTTGTCCTTTATGTGCTAAGTTCTTTATTTCTTAGTGTAAGAGCTAAATTCTGATTGATGATAGAAGTGGGTGAAAGTCCATTGGAATAAAGATTTTTATATCTCTGGGATATCCCTTGATTCATCATGTCAGCATTGGAAAGATTTATAAACTGGTCAATTACCTTTTGTTTTTGGATTTTTGGGAAATATACCTGGCTACCCAGATTATTACCAGATTTCCTGTTATGATAGGGCGATCGCTGACTCGATCTAGTATTGATCTACGATAACATCGACTTATTATTTAGTTTTGAGGCAATAGGTTCATAGTCCTATAACTTTACCTGCTATTAATTCATAATTTATTGCTGTTATTGATTCTACTGTATCTGATTATAATCATTATTGGACTATTCAATTTTCCTTATTTTGACTTTAAGATCATCAATTATTTACCTTAGTGTCTCATTCTTACTAAGAGAAGAGGCATTTTAATACCCATAGCTAATTTAGTTTACCAAATCTAGATCTTCTATTTCCCTGTCTCTACTCCTATCCACTAGCTCTTAACGTTTAATGTTCCTAATCAACTCCTTGCCGACATATTTCCGATACTCTTTAAATTCGCCTATCTTATACAAGGCAGGAGCACCAAAATTCAATCTCTTAAGCGAGTCTGTTTTCTCCTAAGTCTAGTTCAGAGCCTTGCTAGCTTCCATATTTCTATGGGTAGGCTGAAGACTGTGTGAAAAAATGTTTTTAATAGAGTTTCTGTGTGGTGTTGTTATGTTTAAGCTAAAATTTTAATGTAAGTCTGCTCCAACACCACTATCATTAGGACTTTAATGATTATACAGTAACTGAGAGTAAATGAAGCGGGTGTTAACCTCTTCCTGATCTGGTTCAAACTGCCGATCTCGAGAAATCCTTGACTTAATAGAATTAATGATCTGTTTTTCCTTTGGGTAATGCTAAACTACCTTGAGCTTGAGTAACTTCTGCTTTTTTACGAAAAACCTATTCTATGGACTCTCCATATATAATTATTCTTTTTTAATTAATTTATTAATCAAAGATCTTATCTTTTTGATTGATTTTGACAATAGGGGTTTTGGGGTTTTGGGGTTTTGGGG